GAGAAATCTTTGTCCCACTCATGAGGGAGGAGTCCTTTAGAGGATACCACTTCTTTATGGTCGGGTCAAGTTTCTATGACCAAGGTATTCCATATACAGTTTTTGGGACATATGCCATTCCTCCCAGAGCAACGAGAACCCTGGGAGAAAACACACTAATGCACCCCCCGCATTTGGCTCAATATACGGAGTTAGTTGCGGTGGCCTGCATGCTAGAACAGTGTGTGCAGGTCCTTCATAAGGCTCCATATTTGGACCTGAGCCTGTTCTCAGACTCGGCATAGATGTGCAACTCCCTTACCGAGTTCCTCCCTTGTTGGGAGAAAAATGGGTTTATGTCCTCAGACAGGTCACCAATTAAATATGCTTCATTACTGAAGTACATTTGTGACCTGACACACAAACTTGGACACTCAGGATGCCTAATTTCAGTCAAAAAGGTCAAAGCCTATTCCAAATCTGAACTATATGCTCAAAAGAATGGGAAAGTCGATAGACTAGCATGAGAAGGGGCCCGTTCAGGAGATCACTGGAAGAAAAAAACATCAGAAGGCCTCATTGTTACGGAGTCTCAAATGTCCATTTGCAGCTATCAGAGTTGATTTACCCGATCTCAAGAGAATTAAAAGCCCAACATAATGAAATAGTGGAAATAGTGCAAGAACTCTCCAAGGCAGATGGAAAGTGGGCACCCAAACTGAACCCCCTATATGGGAAATACAGACAACATTTACAGGTGACAATATCTTATTGTATAAGGGACGTCCTTTTCCTGCATGGGTGGTCCCCACTCCTTTGAGAAGGGAGAAGGTATATATGGTTCATGATATTCCCACGAGAGGACATCAGGGAGTGCAGAAGACCATCCAACGCCTTCAAACTGTGGGTTGGTGGCCACTTATAGGACTAGATGTACAGCAATATTGTGACAATTGCCTGACTTGTGCTCAGGTTAACTTTAATCCATCCAAACGGAATGCACCATTACAATCTCAGGTGTACAAGGGTCCATGGATAGCCTTGCAAAGGGAGTCAAAATGGATACCTACCTGCAAAAACTGCGAGAACATTTAAATCAGGTCCATTGGCAGGTAGCTGCCAAATTGGATAAATTGAGACACAAAGCTAAGGCCTATTTTGATAAGAGCCAAAGATAGAACACTTGGGAGGTTGGAGATCTAGTGATGTTACTGTCTTTCAAAGCCCCAGAACACAGGCTGTGTAGTCAACGTATAGGACCTTTCTGAATCATTGACAAGCTGAGTTCGGCTATATAACAGGGAAAAGGTGTAAAGATGAAATCGACCACGCTAACCAGTTAAAGATGTATCGATCATCTAGGTCTCTGAAGCAGGCTGTTCCCCAGGTACTCAGTGAACCAGCCCCTGAGGAACCCCATCTGCAATCGGAGCCCGAGTGATTGTTTCTAGCCATGAAATGGACAATGAAATTCCTGATTTACTGTTATTTTATTTACATCCTAGAAATAAGACTGTATTCACCTCCCCCTCCCCCTCCCCCCGAGACTTGGGATTCAAACATGGCCAAAAGAAGCTTTGGTAACAACCCAAGACTCCAGTGAATGCCTATGTCAATATCCAAGTGATCAACCTAAAAAAACATGTTCTATCCAAAAAGGCGGAGCAAGTTCTCATTGTCAACCTGGGTGATGAACACATTTTGCAAATGTTTACAAATGTGCCTGCTGGTAGTTCACTGCATCCTTTACCCCAAAATGTATCTAATTTGAGTCAGGAGGTAACATTAATTTTTGTTTGGAATTGGATTAAAGCAACTGAAGTTGGGATTCAAAAGAATTATTCAGACTTTATCACTTGGAAATATACTCCAAGATAGGGAAAGCTTAAAAGAGTTTTAAAATGGCGGAGAAAATATTCTGCCTGGACTAAGGAAACATGTTTAACACTGCACGATATGCTGGCGTCTATGGCTGGCAGATATCAAGCAGGAATCTGTGTAGCCTCTCTGCACCCAAATAATTGTATTTGGTCAAGACAAATCATGGTAATTGGATGCTTGCTAAGGACAAAGCCTCAGAAATTATCAAAATAAGCCCTTACCCTGGCTTTGTCCATTAACCAACCTGGCACGTTATAGGTATGAGAGGAGAAGGAATCACATTTAAGTACCAACTAAAGGGATAACATCAATGCCATCTAGTGGTTGGAAAAAGATCAGACCCTTAAAAGACTCAAAAAGGGGGGAGGATGTAATAATTTTACCTAACCAATTCAACACCTCCCTAACCAATTCAACACCTCCCGTGCATGAAATCCCTTATGGGGAGTGGGAAGAAAAAAACAATTTTGATAATTTTATGACTGGAGGTAGTTTAACTGTACACCCAGTGGATTATGAGGATGAGTATATGAGGTCTGTATAATAGCTCCTTTCCAAACAAAATCAGGGATTAAGAAATATATAGTAAACCTCTCATGAATTTAATACATAATCCCTTCGTAGATGATGATTATGACAGCCCCACTGATGATGAACTGGAATATCCCATGATAAGTTCTGGCCCTGCTAGTGGCCTCACCACTACACCAGTATCTGGTACACTGATTAACCAGGTTCGCTTTATGCATGTTCCTGTGGTATTAAATTTATCTAACTGGCAATTGGGAGAATTTAGCTATTGTAAATCCACTAACGTAGCTTCCTTTTTCTTGGTACTTCTTACGGTTAAAATTGCCACTTATCAGCAACAAGTCCAAGATCTTGCAATGCTAGGGGCAAACAGACAGCCCATAAATCTGTCTTCCACTAGGCGGAAGCTAGTTTGAATCTGCTTGCAGTTCTAGGATCTACCTCCAGACTATTTGGTTCTGGTATGTCTGTCTGGAACCGAATGGATCTCCGGAAGATCTGGAAATACCTAAATTTTGTGTTGCAGGGGAAAGCTAATCAAATTTTAAACCCCATGTTGCAAGGACTCAAAGGATTATCACAAGAAGAATGTTTTACTGTTTATAATCTTCATGACATAGCTGAACTTTTTAATGAAACTCAGGAGAAAATTAACCAAATAATCACCCAAAACAATGATCAAAGAAAAGATTTGGCCTTAGGAAAAGAAATTATTTGTTCTGCTTATGGAGAATATGTTATAGACACTATCACAGAAACCCTACATTCCTTTACAATGGGAAGGGTCCCCAACTTAATTAAGGACGAGCAATTACTTAATTGGTATTGTCCAAAATATTTTCAGGGGTCTGAAAGGGAAAAATCCACTTGTTTAAATGCATGTCCATGTACATCCTTCAGGACTATGAGACAAATGGGATCTGAGATACCACACCCCAACCGAGACAGCTGTTCAGTCTCCAAGACTTGTTCTGTGGTGCAGTCTTTGTATGTTTCATTCATAGCATTATTGCCTGTGTTTGATCCAGGATGCATATGAGCAACTGGCCAATCCATAGGTCTCTTCGAAGATGACATCTACAAGGAATGAGTGGATGTACCTTCCTTTGTGGTCTATCAAATGCCAACCTAAACATGGAAAGTTCCTCTGATGACCTGTTGCTTAGAAAAAGGGCTTCAGTTTATCTGTAGGTGTAATGTGTAATCCTGCCTCAGACACCTTTTAAAGGGGGAGGGAAGGAATGAAATAAAAAATAAAGAGTTCAACCAGGAAGGAGTTTAAACTGAAAAGGGCTGAAAGGGAAAGGGAAAGTAGATAAGGATACTGCTGAAACCAAGGGTGATAGACCAGGAACTGAGTATGGGTTGGCTGTGTGCCTGGAATAAGCCTCTCAGAGCATCATGAGACAGCTGCTGTGCCTACATGGCCAACCAGGGCATTGCTACCAAAAGTTTCCAACTAGAAGCGCAGGGCACCAAAACACCTAAAATGAAGTAGCCACAAAGACACTTCTGGAAGAACCATGACTTATTTGTAATTGCCTCAGCTAGTACTTACATATCCTGAGAAATTTCATGATGCTCTGCTGCTTTAAATATTACCTAAATATTCTTTAACCTTTTCTTTCCCAATTTTGACATATTAATTCCTAGTTGTTGATATTGTGTTGTGCATCTGGTTACTGTTAACATTTTTAGTGAAAACTGAAGCAAAACAGGTACCACAATGGGAATAACCGAGCGAAGAGGACAGGGGGCTGAAGACAGGACTTTGAAAGGCAGCACAAGAGATCCCACCGCTAAACAGGCTGAGTGAGTGTACTAGGTTTGGCATGAGTGAGTTTGCTCAACTGTTTGTCTGAATTTTGTTTCGGATTTCAGGTACTGTGGCAGTTGGGATTATATGTCTGGGTTTGTTCCTTTGCATCCCTTGATTACCACTCAGCCTTGTGATCAGCCTCCCTCTATGTGGCTAACGAGGGGATAGGCATGACCTAGGTGAGTAGGCTTTAAAAGCCAGAGGCAGAGCGACTAGGGGAGCGAAGTGGACACAGGGCTGCAGATGGGAGTTTGTAAGAGGGAGTTCTAATATGGTTAGGAAGTTTGGCAATACCTGTGCCAGCACTGCTTCCGTCTCTTCCACCTGAATCTGTAGCTAGACAGACCACCTAACCATGGATGCCTTTACCCAGATCCTGGTGTGGTTTTGCAGGGACTTTGGTTTGCAATTCCCATTTACAGAGATCCAGGCTGGGGGACCATCCAGTGTGAAAGGTGCCTGCTGGTGGAATCTCTCAGGAAGCAGGTGGGAGAGAGAAGGAGGTGGCTAGGCTGAGGAGCGGGCCACCAGTGGTTTACCAGGGTGGGTCCACAACCCAACTTTGAAAACGCCTATTATAGATTTCTAAACAGACACAGAGAGTATGCAAAGTCAGACAAAATCTGTATGAGAGTCAAGAATAAACAACAGACCTCCACATTGCCACTTCTGTACTTCAACCCTAAAACTATGCTCCTTCTAATCTATGCCAGCTAGTAAGACTATTTTCTGAGGAAAGAGAAAACAACTTAAACCCAACAAGAACTTCACTCAACCAGAAACCAACTACTCTGTTAAAAATATACTGTGTGTACACACACACACTTTTTTTATTGTCTAAAATTCACAATAAGCTACATGATGCATATAGATCTTGCCTAACAGCTGAGTTAAACACACTTTATCATAGGCCATTACCTATTTATCAGCTGTGAAAAAGTGGTGGGATATTTTTTTTAAGAAAAACACTCCAGGAGTATTTTTACTCTTAAGATTTATACATATGTCTTTGCATGTATATTTAATATACCAAAACCTGAATGCATAATTTATAATCCAAGAATTAATTTCCATGAATAAAATCCTCACCAGTTGGCAAATTTATTCAAAAGTCATTGTGTTAAATAAAGCAGCATTAAAATCCGATAAATGGGGTTGAGGAAGAGGAGGAAAATAATGACCATAGAGGACTGACATTTTGTTCTTCCCAAATATCTTTCACGCAACTTGAATCTTTGTTCTCTGGATAACTTGTAAAACCCCCAAAGTCTGAATGTACTTCACTTGTCTGAAATAATTCCATCAGAGTCTGCACTGGGGACAAACATACATTTTTCTTTTCTTCAGTAATAGGTAATTCATCAGTTTGCTTTATACATAACTCCATATTCTGTTTCTGGACTCCTCTTTTATTTCTTCCTAATGAAAGTTTTACTTTTCTGTGCAGCTTTCTAGAAGGTGAACTGGGTGCACTATTGACAGCCGATTCACTAGTTGCTTTGTTTGTAGAAAAATGTGGTAGTTTCTCAGTCTCCAGAACTATATGATGCTCTCTCTCTGCATCATTATCCAAACCAAAATGTAACTGGTTTTTATTAAATGCTGTGTTGGTATTTGTTTTCTTCAAATATTTTGCTGGTAGAACAAATGAATTACTTAATTTTCGTTTTGACTGTGAGGTATTTTTGTCCTTTTCACTACTATCAAAATTCTTTCTATTTAAATTTACTTCGGGTTCAAATACTTCATTACTAGAATTCCTGTAAGATTCGGATAAATTCTCGAGGTATGTTTTGCTGACATTTTGTGGAGGTAGTTGTACGAAGTTTGGTGATAAAACAGTGTCTTTTAGATTTACAGGACAGGAGCCTTCTCTTTTACCGTTTTCAGCATTACTTCTGAATTTACTAACTACTTTGGAAGGAAATAATGGTTTACAAAGAACTTCTGTATGTTGATGGTCCTGTTTTAGTGCCTGCACTGTAGTATCTTTCCAAGAATAACACTTGAATGAAATGTGTTGTCTTTTTAGTCGTTCTTTCAGTTCTTCGGCTTTAGTTATGTTTCCAATAATTGGAGAAAAGTATCCCATACTACATTTTGTCCTAAAATTAGAATTCAAAAGAAATATTTGAAACAAAAAGATAACAGATTACTTTACCAAAGCTTAATCTGTTAACTGTCTCTAGGCAAGAATTAAGATTGACAAAACTATTTTTATTCTTATAACAAAATGCTTTTATTGTCACGGGACCAGAAGGTACTATATACAAACTTTAATATTCAGAATTATTTCTGCAGCTTTTAAAAAAATATTTAAAGAAAATGGCTTTGGGTTTAAACAAAAACAAATTAAAAAATGGCAATTAGCATTTCACAACAATGACTATTAAAATTATGTAAAATGACAACATTCTCAAGACATTTAAATATTATATAGTTTTTCATCCTTAATAGGCATTTCCAAATGACAAAAGGAACAGAAGGGGAATCACTAATTTAGAGGTGGTGAATTTTTGTGCATGTGATTGGCCACTGACCCACATTAAAATCAGTCAGGGGCCACACACAAGTGAGGGAAAAAACCCTCAGAGATGTGGACCCCAAATGAGATGCAGAAACAGCCTCCCTCCCCCCCCCCCAAAAAAAAAGAGACAATCACCTCACTCCCCTAGTACTCCAGCCCTGCAGGGGAAGGAAGAGAGCACCAAGGCTCAAAGCTCCCTTCTCTCTTCCCTTCCCCCCCCGCTTGGACTGGATTAACTTTTCAGGGGCCTGGGACCAGTAGATTTTGTGGAGGCCCTATATAGTTTTGAATGGGATAAAAATGAGGGGTTCAGTGTACAGGAGGGGGCTACTGGGCTAGGGTGAAGTATCTGAGTTGGAGGTAGGTGCAGGAACAGGGTGGAGGTGCGAGGTTTAGGCAGGAGGTAGGGTGCAGTACTGGACAGTGGGTAAGGGATTGGGGCATCTACCTGGCACAGCTCCTGGGGGGCACAGCTCCTGCCCCCTGTTGCTCCCATTGGCATGAGGGGTTCAGTGTACAGGAGGGGGCTACTGGGCTAGGGTGAAGTATCTGAGTTGGAGGTAGGTGCAGGAACAGGGTGGAGGTGCGAGGTTTAGGCAGGAGGTAGGGTGCAGTACTGGACAGTGGGTAAGGGATTGGGGCATCTACCTGGCACAGCTCCTGGGGGGCACAGCTCCTGCCCCCTGTTGCTCCCATTGGCTATGATTCCTGGCCA